CCCCAAAACCCCAAAACCCCAAAACCCCAAAACCCCAAAACCCCGGGAAGACGTTTATGGGTTGAATTAGTGTGAAAGGCTTGGTTCTGATGAAATGGTAATTGTGATGGGTTATCTGGGGAAGATGTCGAAGTCGGTGTCTTGGTGAGATCCTGAGATTAGAGGAGCATTTTCTATGGGATTGGATTTTAATCTTACCAAGATCGTATTTTTGAAGAAGATTCAGGATTTGTTTCTTGGAAATTCCTCATTTGTCAACATAGATTGAATTCAATGAGATTTTGAGAAGTGACTCAAAGATTGCATCTAGGATTGATTCAAAATCTTCTAATTTTTCTTTCCACAAAGAGCCTACATCACTTCCACATTGTCTACAGCCAGGAGATTATTAAATGAATATAGAGGGAAAAATTACCTGAAAGATAGGATATTTAAGTTTCAGCTGTTTCCTATTTTAAATTTTATTCATCTTGATTCTATAACTCATGAGTCCAAGAGTAATCTATAGCAATTCTGAACAGAACAGACCAGCCTCGCAAATTTCTTTTGCCCAAATCTAATCTTCTTGATACTTAGAAAGAAAGGAACTTTGCTAGCAAATTTAATTAATTTTGTAAATTTGTTATTGATTGTCATCAATGTATCCTCATCTGGTTCAATATATCCTTCTTCAATCTCTTGTGTGATAGCAGAATTCGAAACCATTTCAAGCAATCCTCATGAATTCTTAAAGAGTTTGGATACACTCACCTTCAGCTTAGGAATCTTGCTACCAATTCCAAATCTCTTAAAAGACTTTGATGTATTTTTCAATATTTCAAAATCATTTGCAGCATTTTGGACAGTGAGATCAAGACAACTTCTAGGCTCGGGAAGACCTTGTTTCATAAAAATAGTAGAAGTAATATTTTGTTTCAAAGTATCTTCACTCTTAAAAGTATTTAATTCAAGTTCTGACATTTGTCTCTTAATATATTATTCTATATCTCCTTTTTAAGCAGGGGTTTTGGGGTTTTGGGGTTTTGGGG